ATCATCTTACCCCACATTCCACCCAACAAAGTCATACTATTGCCCCGATTTTTGTTATCCTAATTATCTTACTTAACATACATTAAAATTAAGATATCATCATGAAAAACAATTAATTAAGCAGAATTTTGAAGTCCTTTTCTTGGAAATGAGAGCCCAAACGAAACATTGATTGCATTATTGCAGATTTGAGTTAAAAAAACCCAAAAAATATACCTACCAACTGGGTTGACCGTTTTAAACATAAAGCCCCTATAAAAATTAAAACCAAGGAAAGATTTTCAACGGTTTGCATTTTACTAAAGTACATGAAAACCAACCTACGGATTTGAGAGACCTTATATTAGCTTCAAAGGTTTGCCGTTTTGCAAACTCTCTGTGTGCGAAAGTGACGAAGCAGCCCAACTTGCGGATTTCGCTGGAACTTTTGTAGTGGTGGACTAGTAGAGTAGTAGTTTTTAGGGATTAATTCCGGATTGGAGTGTGGTCTTAGGTCTGTGGAGAAGACGATTGGAATGGAATCGAAGAAGGCAGTTCGTTTGCCTCTTTTATGTGCCCAAATTTTTCCCTTTTTTTTTTTTTAAAGAGGGGCGATTTTGGGCTAGAGGCCCCCTAAAATATGAGGCCCAAGGCAGTGGCCTCACTTGCCTTGGGCTAGGGTCGTCCCTGGCTAAAAGAATTTGACTTTGGTGAGATATATTGCAACTTACTAGCCAAGAAGGGACGATCTTTCTTCCAAACTAAATAACGAAATTGATCATCTAACCACAACCAAATCTACAAATTTATCCTTATTAAGTAGAGACACGGAACTCGGAAAAGCATAAACTTATGCAACTCATTCACAATTTGCCTTTTTATCTCGCCATTAAAAATAGGAATGTTAACAACAAAGGAAGGAGTTAAAATAATATGATAGTAATTAGCAGGCAACATCCAAATATTCAATGAGAAAAGTATGTAAGCGGTTAATTGCTTTGGACAAAAACATGGCAACTATGGAAGTATCAATCAATTGAGATCACGTCATAACAAAGTCTACCTTAAAGGCACGTAAAGGAGTAAGCAAAGTGTTTGGCTTAGGTGATAGTACTATAGGTAATTCTTCAACTATGTTATGATCAATTATGTCGAAGACATGCAGGAGAAGGAATAAGAGTCCTTGGTATTAGAATAGCCAATAAGTTCAACTATAAAAACTCATTTTCTTTTTCGTAATGATAACTAAAACAACCTGATTGTCGGGACTAAGGGGGTAGGCTTAGTTTTGTACATACTTGACGAGGATGGAAGGATATGTACCAAAGTTTGGCTTGTTGATAAGCTTCATTTAAGGATTGGGGTGCACGAATAATGTCGTCAATAGGATTTTAAGATTCAAACCACTTGTAACCGGGACGTTGTGATGTGGGGAGTATCATAAATATCACAAATGTGCAACAACTCTTTGATGTGGGTTAAATACTCACGAAAAGTGGACGTACATTGCCTATAGTGTAAAAAAATTGATTTAACAATTGAGTTCGATAATATATGGAGATGTATTTGTTACTTGATATTCGTTGTGTCTCATTCCACAAAATGACAGGATGTTGATATAACAGATCAAATATTAAGCAAAAATTACTTAATAACTCCTTGTCGAACCGACAACTGACATATTAGCATGATAAATTTGTTTTGACACTTAAGTTGTGAAAGATGAAAAGTGTTCAAGGTTATCGAGCCAATCCATAAATGACTTGAACAAGCCCAACCGTCAAAGTTCCACAGTTGTAAGGTAATTTGCCAAATGTTTTCAACATAATCCCTAGATGGTGGATAATTTTATTGATAATGGGAACGGGATGGCACATGATCGTGGAATGACAAAGGGGCTTAGTGTAGGTATACGAGTCATTGTTGGGATCATACATGAAGATGAAAGGAGTGCTAAGACAAAGTAAAATTTTAGTTAAGCCCCTGTTTGATCCCCATTTTTTTAATTACAATTTTTTCTTTCCTTTTCAACCATACATTCTTCAATAAAATAATATTACACGCAAAGATTTTTTCTTCATTTTGAACTATACATTTTTCATCAATTTACGATTTTGAAATGCATTTTACTTAAAAAATGGGGCTCAATCATGCTCTAATTTTGTTATAGTTTTACTATATTTATTTTATTTATTTATTTAAATGAAAGCTACTAGAAAGTAAAAGCTCTATATTTTTTATTTTTGGGAATATAAAATTGACAAGTTAGAACATCGAAATAAGAATATATTTTCTTCATAAAAATAAAATAAAATAAAAATTCGGAACCTCACAAGATTCATAATAGCTAAATAGCATCCAAGTTATCATCTTCAAGCTATCATGGCTATGCTGGAAGAACGCAAAAGTAACGATGGGTTGTTGCAACTAAATTCTCCTTGGTGCTTAATTCAATCAATAGGAGCAAAACTAATCATAGCTCTTACAATCATTAGCAAAAATTCAGTTGAGTTTATCTACATTGATATAGGGAGTTGATAGATGGCATAACAGAAACAGAGCCGTCGTTGGAAAAAATAGTTTTTTAGCAGCCAATATAACTAGTTCACCTATGCTTCTGTTACAGAAGCTTAATTCAATTCAGTTATTTTTCTTTTGTCACTTCTTTCTCTAATGAACAGTAATCCTCAAATAGTAACTCGTGAACCATTTTTTTAAATACCAAAAAAATGATCAAAGGAATTATGAAACCAATGAGGTTTATCGAGTTTTTGGTAGTAAGCTTGGGTAATGGGTCTGGTATGTAGATGAGATGATGCTTAATTTGGTGCACTGAAGGGGTTGAGTGATAGAGATATGAGGCCTGTTGTTGAAGCCCTTTAAATTGGGTTATTAGGTTTGTTTTTTCACTTATGTGGGGTCAATAATTTTAATATAGTAGAAATTACTCCAATCCATGGTTTTTAAATTCTCAATTCCTAACCTCACATAACCTTAATTCATCTTTTGTTGTTTCATTTTCTACACACACCCACCCAATACTAGCAATGGTGATGATCGCGATCTATGACAAGCTCATCATCGGTGATAAGGCATGTGTGGTGATAGGCGCATCAATCTCTTTCTTTATTGCGATCTCTCTTTTTTGTCTTTTGCATCTGTTGTTTACCGTTCACAGATGCCATTGCTCGCCATTTGCGGTGTAGCAGTGCGCGGGCTACGCTACCGATGGCGTTGGTGGTGCATAAGCAATGTTGGTGGTTCTCGACAGTACTGACGGTATTGGTTGTTCGTAGCAGAGTAGATGGAGTGGTTTGGGTGTGGGTGTGGGTGTTGGTGTGGTGGTGGCGGCAGCGGCATTGTGGTGTTGTGGTAATGTTGGTGGTGGTGTCTGTGATGTTAGTGGTGGTGGGGTTGGTGGTGTGGTGATGGTGGAGGGGGACGAAAAGTTTGCAATCAATTATTTGGATGTTGTGATCAATAAATTGGTTAATATGTGACCAATAAATTGGTTAATATGTGACCAATAAATAATAAGTGACCTAAAAGAAAGTGTGATTGTGACTAAATTTGAAATTGTGACTTAGAATTTGGTAAGTCGTGATCAATTAATTTGATAATTTGTGACCCGTTATAACTTTTAAAATTTATTATCTGTGACTTATAAATAAATTGTGACTTATAAAAGTTTTAATTCGTGATTGACGAATAAATTGTGACTTACAAATTTTTTAATTGGTGATCGAGAAATAATTTGTAATTAAGTAATTCGATAATTTATGATCAAATTATACAGTATTGTAACCTTAATATATTTAATGAAAAATGTAATTGGTTATTTAGTTAATAAAATTTAATTATCTGAATTTTGAAGTTTTAAAACTTATTTCTTAATTTTGAAATTGTGCATCGTAATAACCTTAAATAAGAATTTTTCCCTTTAATATATATGTATAGGTTTTGATGTTTATTGGGTTAGGCTGAGTGTATTGAGTAGTTTGGTTAATGGGCTAGGGTATATCGACTAACGGGTTGGTGGCTTTAGGCTAGATGTGGTCCATAATGGAGGCTTTGATGACAACACAAATCAGATTTTAATTTGTACGGGGCTAAATCCTTTTTCTTTTGTAAACTAAAAAATAGGATCCGGTGTACCTAAAGTTGCAGATGTCCTTGGGTTAAAATATATGGTGATATTATTTTGGACATTGCTATTTGTACACTCCGGTGTAAACTCCCCTCACAAGAGGGGGACCCACGTCCAATAAAAAAAACATGGGTCCCCATCTTGTGAGGGAGGGTATGCTAGAATGTACACCAAAGTATACGTATAGCAAAACCCTATTTTTTGTGTAAGATAATATTGTATGTATAGTTTTTGTAGATGAAGGTGGGACGTGTAGAGGGCGAATATGGTGGTTGACAGGTGATGATGTGATGGAACATAGTTGCTGCAATGAACAATAATTAGGTCAAAGTAATACGATTGATACCATATTGATGAAGGAGCATAACAATTTTACGACAAACAATTGTAGAAGAAAGTGAGGAGAAGGAAAAAGGTGTTCAAGAAGAAGAACATAGGGCAAGAGATAATCAATTTATTTCATATATTCAATGGTACCTATTACAATGAATATGCCCTCTTTATATAGAGCAAAGAAGCTAAATTAATAAAATATTTAATAAACTGAAAATCTATCGAATTATTAAAACTAATTGCATATAATTTAAACAAACATAGTTTTAGATCAACTATATTTTAAAATCCTATCTAAACTCTCTCTATTGCAATCAATAGATTTTATTTTTCAACCACAAAAAACAATTTTCCTTTTATGAATGACACTAAATATTCCCTCATATTTGTTTTAGTTACGAATGGCTGAAATATATAGACAAACTATATAGGCCAACATAAATACACTAGATGTATGATTTAAATTTATGAGTGAACAAACAAAAGATGTATAGATGTTTCTCAATTTTCTTTTAAGATTTTTGTCCCCATCACATTTCAGGCTCGTGAAAAGTTTCTATCATTGAGGAGAAGTACGAGGATGGACATAGCTGCGTCCATAGAGGAGGCATGTAAACATTTACACTTCTTGAGTTGACTAATTCTCAAGTTACAATAGTTGATTAGATAGTTTTTTAAGGGTAAGCATCGTCGGTTAAATTCTAATTTGGTAGAGAGATGTTCCAGGAACTTCAGAATGCGAGGTCAACTTTTGAGCAAGCTCGCTTTGGTCTGGTGTGTAAATCCTTTTTCCAGCCATCTTTTAAATTTTCTTAAAGGAAAATTGTCAAGTAAGGATGCTGTTGACAAATGGCAAGATGTTCTTATGTAGATTATTCTTTGAGAATTCAGGTTGGTGCTCTTTCGGTTGTTGAGGCAAAGAAGAGGTTTGAATTGTTAGAGGCTGTTGGCAGTGCAATGGATGCTCATCTTCATTATTTTAAACAGGTTTTTGGTTTTAGAAATAATATCTTATTAATTTTTTTTTTAAAGTTTTATTGCATATGTTACCTTTCTGATGTTCAATGCCCAGGGCTATGAGCTATTGCATCAAATGGAGCCTTATATTAATCAGGTTTGTTCTTTTCCCCTTTCTGATACATTATTATCATTATTTTCAGGATACTTTAGCCAATATTCTTTCTTCTGTTGCCTTATTGGTGCGTATATGTTACATATGCTTCCAAGGAGTACGAGTAATGAGATACATGTGAAATATTAACGAGACAAAAATACCAGAATCATATATACACTGAGCCTGAGCTAAGTTTTTTCTTTTTTTCCCCCCTTAATTTATGACAATTCTAACATTTAAAAAAAATTAAATTAAATTTGTACATTTTTTATGAATTATAAATTAAATAAAAGTTAAACTCTCTTCCTTTTTCCGGGTTTGGGATTAGTTACAATTAACGTGGGCGGAATTAAAATTATACGCGAATAAAATATTTCATGTACAAATTTTCTTGAGACAAATAAATTTAAAGATTATGTATTTTTTTAAAAATTAATCAATTTAAAAACTTACAATATCCTTATGCTTGTATCTGCTGTAACTCTTCGGCCATTATACTGTCACCTTGTTCTTGAATACGTAATTTTGTACAATCCTAGTCCTTCAAACATATTAAAGCCTCCAATATATCTTTCTTTAGTCTTGATCATTTGTCTGATAAAATTCGACTACCTAAACTAAATGCAACCTCCAATGCCATTGTAGACATCGAAGGTATTAGTAGATCATATGAAATTTTTGATACAATTGGATATTGCCTTTCATTACGCCTCTATCCATGATAGAAGACTAAATTTCTGTAATTATTTTGATTGTAACATACTACGAACGTCAACTCACATATACCTAGCTAACTCAGAGCGAATTTCAAGATTTGTACCACTAATGTCTATCACTCTAGATATTGATTAACTAGAACTAAATGAGGGAACACTCTATATTTCTGTAATTATTTTGATTGTAACATACTACGAACGTCAACTCACATATACCTAGCTAACTCAGAGGGAATTTCAAGATTTGTACCACTAATGTCTATCACTCTAGATATTGATTAACTAGAACTAAATGAGGGAACACTTGTATTGGTGTCCAAATAATTTTATAAATCATTTGAATTTATTAAAATATTTCTTGAAAAAGAACTTTGAGAAGTAATACTGCCCTAACCTCCTTTTCAGCGTATGCATTTCATATAATGTAGATTCTATATGCACATGTGATAATTCTAAATTCATGAAATTTGAAATCCCCTTATAATAGCTTTTTGCAAGTTAAATTAAGTCGAGAGTCCATCAATGAAGCTAAAATAAATAAAGAATTCAAATCTTCTCAATATTTACGAAATCTTAACTCCATCGAGTAGACTACATCAACAAAAATTGGCAAATTCCTATATTTATAAAATGTAGAAAAAGTATTGTAAAACTAGTGAAGATGTAGGATAGTAAACACCTTTATATTCCTTTGTGGTATCGAAAAAATGTTTTAAAAATTTTTTCACACAAAATGCAATAGATCATTTCCAATCTTCCAAATTATGTTAATATTCGTATGTATGCCTACCATTATAATATAGTGAAATAATTTTATTATAATTTTCGCACGAATTTAATATAAGATATGTAGAGTTCCATCTATGTGTTATATCGGTGACAGATAATTTTTCTTATAAGCCATGCTATGCTCACAAATTGTTAAATGCTTGCTTTCTGACTAGTGGCACAGTAATAAAATTTGTTGCTTATCTAATTTATCTAAAGGCAATTTTATATGTTCTAGTCTATCTTTTACAATCAAATTGATAATGTGGTATACACAATGTTGATGAAAAAGTAAATTTCCAAATATAGGGTTAAGGTCATTAATAAATTTATCGATAACAAGTTTGTTCACATAAGCATTATCAAAAGTAAAATTTCGAACCATTTCTTACATACCATATTCTTGTATAATATCTTTTAAAACCATGTATATATTAGTTGCATTATGAGGATATTCAACACATCTGAATGCAATGATCATTTTATATAGAAGCCATAAGTGGTCAATGTAATGAGCCATAGCAAGAATATAACCTTTTTTATTAACACTGGTTCATAAATCAGAGGTAAATGATATAACACTACTAAATATTTTTTAGTTGTTATATAGCAACTTGTTTTCTTTTATTAAATAATTTCACAATATCTAAATGAAGAGTATTTCTATAATAAGAAGTATACTTGGGTTGGAGATAATTCTGTACGAGTCATGAAAAGTGTATTAAGTCTATCATCTTAAGTAGCATCTCTGCTGCAGTCACGTATGCAATCATTCCTTCGCGAAATCTTTCTTGTGAGTATACAAAGATGGAAAGGGTAGAATCGGAACCGTCAAACACTAGTTCAGTCTGTTTCGGGTGGAGACCGACTGATTTCGTTTTGCAACTCCTTAATATGTGCCTATTCAAATGCGTTATGCTTGAATCGGGCTTCCAACTAAGTTCTTTGCCACAATAATTGCAACATACTTTTCAAATATCATCTTCATTTTGAACACCAACTTTTTTACGTGTCATATGTTGCCAACAATCTGATGATTTTTCGACCTTTTAGTAGTCTCGAGTACTTCTTCTTCTTCAATATCCTCCAATTCAATCGGAACATTTTGAGTTGCATCATAACCGGCTAGAGGACTCGAACTACCCTTAAACTAATTAATCTCGTCACAAGTAAAATCCATCTATATTATATAATTATTATAACAAAAGATACTGAATATTATAGTAAAAAAAAAAGTAAATATTAGAGCAAAGAAATTAGAGATTGAGGTTGACACTTGAAATTAGAATACTGCAAGTTAAAATTGAT